TTGACCGATAACGGCTGTCAGATGTCGCAGATTGTTCGATGTCGGCCGAGTCCAGGCCGTTGAGCGGCATTCAGCCTCGAAGGCCCGATCTGGGGTCCAACGCCGCGTCGACGCGGCACGATCCTGCCGCAGTGCGGCAGCGGCAATAACGAACCTCTACGGCCCAGCACTGGGACGAGCGCAAGCCGAGGGGGGCGGATTGGCCAGGGGATCGGGGACTGGGGCATCCAGGTCTTCGGGGCTTCTGTTAGGTCGGGCATGTCCTCGTGCAGGCGGATTTTGCAAGAGAAATTTGAAACAGTCAAACATGCTCAAATATAGCCAAACATAGTCGAAAAATCGTCCCCAGGCTACTTTTTCCGGCGATGGACGAACCTCCCTTCCGTAAACCTCCCTTTAGAGAAAACGGCCTGGGACCGAAACCGACGGACCTGGACCCGCAGAATGACGGCCACGACGCCCTCTCGCGAACCGACAACGGCCACTTCGCTCATCGACGTGTGAGGGCACCTCCGATTTTTTGTTGACTATTCTTGAAGACTCTCTCTTCAGCGGGACACGCCCGACTCAAAGGCTTCTCTGCCCTCCCTGGGCCCCTGGAATCGGGGATCTTCTGACCCGGGTCAATCCAGACCCAGGTCAGCAGGAAACCAAAAACTGCAAGAAAAGAAAACTGCAGCGCAGGTCTTCGCAAACCCGGGTCAGCCAATGCGCGCGGCCGCCTCGCGGCCACGAGCGGCTCGCCGACCCGGGTCAGCCAGAGGGGGTCTTCGCAGGATCCTGCAGGATCCGGTGCCCTGACTGACCCCCGTCTGCACTGACCCTCGGAGCGAAACTCTCCACGACACGGAGGAGGAGGAGGAGGAGGAGGAGGAGGAGGAGGAGGAGGAGGAGGAGGAGGAGGAGAGAGGAGGAGGAGGAGAGAGAGAGGAGGACGAGGAGGAGGAGGACGAGGAGGAGGGAGGGAAGAGGAGAGAGAGGAGGAGGAGAGGGAGGAGGAGGAAGCCTCCGAGGAGGCCTCCAGGGGCCTCCTTGAAGGTCTCCCAGGGCGCCTCCCAGGGACTCGCGCCCTGGGGCCCTGCGGCGTCGCGCGAGGGCGCC